GCAAATCAGGAAAAGGGCACCACGTCCTGGTGTAATCCCTGTGACCTTTAGGAATGACACATCTTTCATGGATAAGGCAGTCCAACCTCCCCTTTGAGCTGGGGTTCGTGTTCCTTCCTGGGAATCCTTTCTTTCCCCCCTTGTCTCCCCAGCACAATGCTCCTGGTGCCTCCAGACGGGGGTGGGTGGCCACAATGGGGCTGTGGGGGGACAGGCTTCCACCAGGGGGCACTGGAAGGGAGCAAATGTGAGAAGCACCATTTCTCAGAACAGCTCCAAGGTCGCCTTCCCCAGCTCCCAAACACCTGTCGGATGCAAAGCTGTGGTCCCAGCCCTCTGGGAAGCAAAGTTGGCGGCCTTCCCTCCGTTTCTAGTGTTCTGAGGTTTACATCAGCATAACCTCACCTTCATCCCCGGCATGTCCGACGTCACTGTTTCATTCTGAATCAGAGCCTCAAGTGAAATTTATTCCTTCTGAATTTGGTCATCACTGGCAGATGGCGGCTGCTTTTTATTTGAAAACTTAAATAACTGGCTCGGTCTGGAGAGCTCTCTTGAACCTAGGGGCGCGCTAGTTGAGTCTCCCAACCCACATGTCCCAGGCTGCGGTTTTAAGGTGAGGAATTCTGGTGGCAGCTGCGTCTGCAGCTGAAGGGCGTGGAGGAAAACGAAAGCCTGTGGCTTTGGGGAAATGGCTCTGAGTGATTGATTCGATGTTCACTGTAAGCTAGGTGCCATTGTTCCCAGAAATTCCCAGAAAGATGAAACTTCCTCATGATGATCGTAAATTCCCCCCAGGAGATCTGTTTCTTAAGGGCCTTTTAAAATCAAATACATTTTAATTGATTTAACTAATGTCACCTGGGAAGGGTGACACACAGCTAGCTTTCCTTTAGTGTGAAATTCTACCTCTGATCAGGTTTCAGAAAAGTTTCGCTGAACCAAGAATCCACAGCAGTGGGGTGAGGAGGGAGGAAAGAGGGAAGGAAGAAGGAAGGATAGACAGGAGGGAGGACGGGAAGGAAGGAGGGAGGGAAGAAAGTAAGACACTGAGTTTTTCAAAGAAATGTTTATTCAATTTAGAAAGCTATCCTTTTTTCTGAGTGTATGCCCTCTATATTTTTGAGCTATTAAATTATCCTTGCCTTGTGTATACACTTCCCCTTGATATTAAAAAGACTCTCCTTCTAAGAGGAATTCTAGAAGCACACTCCAGGGTGTTTCCTTTTGATTTTAAAATGTACCTGCTTCTAAGAGAGGATAGTCACCGGAGAGGTTAGTCTTTTCGCTTGTATTGACAAAAGAAGTTAACCCTATGTCAAACCCCAAACTGTTTTTGACATCATCTTGAGTCTTACCTTAAAGTAAGAGGAAGAGCTACTTCTAGGGGATCCATGGGTCACTAACAGAACACAAGTTCCCAGCTCCTGGGACAGTCAACTGATACATTTGGTGGTACTTGGCCAGGCTGGGGCCTGAAGGGGCAGTGGGTGTGGGGAAGGAGTGAGGAGACTCTAGAAGCCTCAGAAGCTGGGTGGGGTTCTGGGCAGCAGGGGAGATGGTGTCCAGGGAGTAAAGGATGCTGTGAGGGAGGGCAGAGCCTCTCTGAAGACCGCACATCTGATCCCAGCCTTGGCCAGGGCACCCCCCAGGCACCAAATATTCTTGCATCTTGAAGCCATTGCTTGCTCTGTGTAAGAAGATTGATTTTTCCCCCAGGAATGAGCTGATGTGAGGCAGACTGGGTGTCTTGCAGACAACTCCGTTCTGCCCCCAGGTCTCAGGGCAGAATTTTCTAGAAGACTGATGTCTGTGACCTCCGAATTCGTGACAAGTTCACAAATATCACACCCAAGACATGGAGCCAGCTCGTGATATGAAGTGCTCAGCCACAGGAACTGCTGACGGGGTTGGCGCTTGTGCCAGAAGCTGAGTCCACTGACCCTCAGTGGCAAGAAGTGCACAGATGACGCTGGCCAGTGGGCTTCGCAGAGGAACAGCGGGGGAATCTCAGCTGGGAGACAGGGAAACTCACAGACATCGTCACCCCCTGGTCGTTACCCTTATCATTATTACGACAGACTTTAGGCAGTAACAGGGGGATCAAAGTTATTTAAAAACAAAAGACAGATCTGCTTGTGTTCATGGTAACATGAGGAAATTCTCTATTTTTGATCAAGGGGAACAACTCCAACAGGAGGCAAAATAATGGTAGAAGTGGCCATGTTTGATTTGGTCCAATGGTTCTTCCTGCTTTGGCCGCCAAATTCATCATCTGTTGTTGGAAACAAATTATTATTATCTCACCATTTCTGTGGGTCGGGAGCCCAGGCATGGCTTAGCTAGGTGCTTAGAGTTAAAGGTGGAGAAATTCACGAAGCTCATGAAACTGGAGTCAAGCTGAGTCGATCCACTTCCACATTCACTTTCATGGCTGTTGGCAAGCCATGGTGCCAACATTCATTCCTCATGATGGGGATCCTCCTCCACAGGCCACCTGAGAATGTTCACGGCATGGCAGCCAGTAACCCAAGACCCAGCCCAGGAGCACGAAGTCAGAAGCCACCGTCCTTAGACAACCTCACCTCGGAGAAGACACTCTACCACTTTTATCACCTTCTATTCATGAGAAGTGAGTTACTAGGTCCGAATCAGACCCAAGGAGAGGGATTGCACAAGGGGGTAAACACCAGGAGGCGGACACCACTGGGGCCCATCTTAGAGGTCGCTATGCAGCTGCCTTCTTTATCTTCATATTAATAATAATAGTAAAGGGGCATCTGGGTGGCTCAGTGGGTTAAGCCTCTGCCTTCGGCTCAGGTCATGATCCCAGGGTCCTGGGATCGAGCCCCACGTCGGTCTCTCTGCTCAGCAGAGAACCTGCTTCCTCCTCCTCCTCTCTCTCTCTCTCTCTCTCTGCCTGCTTCTCTGCCTACTTGTGATTTCTGTCAAATAAATAAAAAAAAATCTTAAAAAAAATAGTAAAGACAGAAATAGTAACTTAGTAGGGTTGGTGTAGAAATCAAATACAAGGAGTAAGAGGGGTTTTCAAAAATAGGGGCCCTAGAAAAGCCATGTGATCAGGTGTGCATACCTGACCCTCAGATCTAACTATGGAGGGGAGTCTGGAAATTGACCATTTTTGTCAGTATCCCATCCATGCTTCAGGCACACTGAGATTTAAGAATCATTCATATACATCATTTTTTCCCCTTCTACTTCATAAATTGGGAAGAAAAGAAAGGCAGAGAAATCAGGTAAAAATGAGGTGGAGGGGAAGGAAGAGGTGAGTTTCTCAAACTCCTAGTTCTCCCTGGGCTTTGTCCTCTAAATAACTCTACTGGGCTGGGTCTGTCCTCAGGACCACAGTTATTGGGTAGGAATCTTGACCATACCCAGTGATGTTTCACAAATTAAACTTCACGGGAGCAGCGCTCTAATATCTCACTCAGGCTCTCCCCACCATGCAGTCCGACCAATATCTCACCTTCTCCATGCTCTCCTCCCGCTACAGCAGCCTATCAGGCGAGACTTCTATGACAGCTCTTAAAACAACAAACATACTTGGCAAATTACTCTGGCTTGGCAAACACATACAGACACTTTTTGATGAGCAGGAATACACCTGGAGGCATCTCTTGGTTTTCTTTCATCAACGGTAAACACAAGTGTTTTACCCAGAAGCAAATAGAGCCATGTCTACGGGGGGGGGGTTACGGCAGAAATAAACAGGGGATAGTTACATGGAACAAATTACCAGAAGCTGGAAGAGATGGTGAATGTTCATCAAATCCATGCTCTTCCAGGCCAGCCAGAAGGACCCTCACAATAGCCCCACTGAGAGGGAGTCTCTCATCTAATCCCTTGGGCAAACTAATCCTGTCTCAACCCTCGTCGTTATTTATTTTATATATAACCAAATCTTTCCTGTTAAAATTGACAGTCTTTTCTCTGGTCCTAACCTCAGGAGAAATGAGGTACAGATGCTCACACAGCTTTTAATAAAAAGGTTAGCAAGTCGCCGCTCACCTTCGTTCTACCATCAGGGGGTGGTGGGAGACATAAAATGTTGTTTCTTAGCTCTTTCTGCTTGGGCTCAGGTTAAATCTGTATTTCTGATAACGGGCAGCCCCATTTCGTCTATGAGGGGATCAAGACTGTAAATTATATTCAGGTCAGTACAACTGGAATAGCCTGGTTTATGTTTTACAGATTCTACCATCAAGCGTTGGGTCCTGGGAGGTGATATGGCTTAACAGGGGACATTGACAAGTTGCCACCAGTGTTTCCTTTTGCCACTGAAAAATCAGAAATGCAAAAAACTTTGTTAGCTCGTCTTCGATGGCTTTAATCTGATATGACTGGGCTTTGCTAAAACTGGGTCCTCTAGTCATCCAGAATTAAATTCAAAGAGAGTATTTTCCTTCCTTGCGTTTTCACGATATTTTGTGTCTAAGGCCCTCATAGAGCTGAATTAATAAGCATTTTCAAAATTGTACGTAGACCTTAACAGTGTTCCAGAGCAACTCCAAAATTAAGATCATGAAGGACGTGTCATTTTTAGCTAGTGTTTATGCTCTCTTGCTGGCAGGTGAGCAGAGACAGGGTACCATTTTATAGATAGGGACCTGACACAAGAAGTGGCCAAAGGTTAACCACCAAGCAAATCCAGGAGCTGAAACTTGGGTCTCCCAGCCTTCAGCAAGGAGCTCTTCACATTCCATATGGCCCTACAAACAAACACTTTTCAAACTGCATTTCCATGCACACATATAGAATTAAGGACACTGTTTTGTTTCCCTTCGCCTTCTCCACGATGAGCGTTTGCCAACATTACATCACTACAATGGTGGTTTGAATAACACACAAAACCCCATCACAACACCTGGGGAAACTGTCCTGAAAGCTTCACAAGCATCGTGCCATCCTCTGGCGTTCAAGAGTTAAGTAACATGCCCCGAACCAGCCCTGGAGAGGAAGGACGAAGCCATCTTACTTACAGGTGGAAAGAATCATGGCTGTGACTCTGCAGGGAGCACACCAAACAGCCTTCAGTTCTTCAGCGATGCTCCAGTCACAAAAACACATCTTTTAACTGAAATCATAGCTCGCCCGAGGTGTTTCTCACGAGCAGAGTTAACCCCACCTATTTTCCTGTTCTAAAAACCTCAGAGAAGTGTGTGAATGACAACCCAATGGCCTATATAAGCAAGCTCAGTAATCTCCATCCAGATCTCTGAAGGCGGCTGCCCTTGGTTCCTCATTCCAAACTGTGTGGGTGACTCCAGCAAACACCATTTTCAAGAAGTCACAAAATTTTCATGCAAGAGACCTCAAAAATCATTTAATCAAACTGCCCTCTCTGGACAGAGAAGGAAACCGATCCGCAGATAGGACGAGGGACACAGTTAGTGGTAGAAGCAGAATTCGATTCTAGGTATTGGAGCATAAATTTTAGAATGTTCTGTCCTCCCACTCAGGACTGACACTTCAAGGACCATATTATGAAACTTCATTTTTTTTTTTCCTGTGGGGATAGAAAGCCAATTCGATAATATACCTCAACGGTGACTGAGCCCTAGCTGAGAAATACAAAAGCAACATAGATTTTTTTTTAAAAATGTACTTAGGAGTTTCACGTCATCCCTTTGGAAAATATAACCAAAAATTAAAACTAAAGGGAACAATTCTAATGAACACATAGCATGTGCACGTTGCCCTTCCTATTTCCTGCTTTATAGATTAAGATCTCTTTAAGCGTTCTGGGTGGATTCTTCTATTTTTACTTCACTTTTTGCCTTCCTTGTGCTTTTGTACAAAGCCTTATGCTACGTTTTGGTGAAAAACGTAAAGATTTTTTTGAAGGAGATGTTCCCAAATGTTGCCAGGGAGCATCCGTCGTGTTCTCCACATCAAAAGTATGCGCAACGATGAGTACAAGAATTATACTTCGTCCTCACTTTTCTTCAGTACCACCCAGCACTTTGAATACAGCTGCTCCAGGTGAAAAGGGAAGTATGGGACAGGACCGGGGGGTGTGGGAGGAGTCAAGGTGAAGGAGAAAGATATAATCGACAGCACTCACACTCAAGTTGACGAGTATGACCAACTCCTTGAATGAGCTACAGTTCGGTTAAAAGGTGGTGTGTGTGTAAGATGGGGGTACGGTTAAACAGGAAGATAAGGAGGAAGGTGGCAAACAGACTGTGACGAGACTCAAGGTGGGTTTTGTTTTGTTTTTCCCATTATAAGGAGGAGAAGGAAGGATAGGAGATAGCTTTCCGTGGATGGACAGACCAGAAGGAAAGAGATGGTTCTCCAGGGTCCTAGGGAGGCACCGCTCAGGGCAGCCAACTGGACAGCTCTGTGTTCCCACGGCACCTGTGGCCCGGGGGACACCATGGTAGTGCCCAGAGCAGTTGAAACTCCTACAGAAAGGCCCTGTGTTGTATGTGCCTCAGCTTTCTACCCTCATAATATCAAAAACACAAAACTCCAAAAACAAAAAAAGGTGTGCGGCAATACATGGCCTGTCATATTGATAACACAGACTGTTTCTTCTGGGCTCATGAGAAATGAAGTTTCCAGCTCAGCTGGTGTCTTGGTCAGACATTGTTAGAATAGTCAGAAACGCACTCAAATAAACCTGAACTTAGGGTCTACCATGAGGCTCTTCCAGACAATCTCACGGATCCAGGAACCCAAGTACAACCAGATCTCCCGAACACCATCTGGAGACAGCTCTACACACCAGGCTCTCCATTTGTCCTGGTCTCTGCCAGAATTTGCGCTTGCCCCTGGGTCTTGCTTGCGGTGGGGGTGGGCTCTGTCGTGAATGTCACCTCACCATTCTGCCCCAGAGCCCAGCACCCCCACTCATAGCATCTGTGTCTTGGGGCAGATTCTGAAGATGGAGAAAGTCATTAATGGCTTCTAGTTCAATCTTTATTTATGTATTTGAGAGCAAGAGATAGAAAAGTATGAGTGGGGGGAGAAGCAGACAGAGAAGGAGAGGTAGACACCCTGCTGGGCAGGAAGCATGATGCGGGACTCGATCCCAGCACCCTGGGATTATGACCTGAGCCGAAAGCGAACGCTTATAACCGACTGAGTCACCCAGGCGCCCTGCCCCAGTTCCATTTTTACCTAACTCCAATTAGTGACGGATAACATGGGCAGAGTCACTCCGCCCAAATAGGCCTGGTTGGGGGTTTAAATTAGACAGGCACTCCCAAACATGCCTGCCTATGTGGGAAGGAGGCATTAATGGTAGAAAGGTCCAGACTTTCTTCTCTTCAGTAAGGAATATTTGATCTCCAGGGGAGGAGAAACTGACAGCTGCAAGGCATAGTCCCTAGTCCTAAAAAGGTAAGTCCAAACGTTACCGAATTAAAATTTTTAAATAAAAGACAACACATGTTTCTTATAAATATATACCTTTATATATTATATATATTTACAATATATACAGCATACAAATATTTTTTAATGTAATACTAATGGCAGTCTTGAAAACAGATGTTTTCAAAACAGAAGAGGGGTACTTATCCAAGATGGGTTTCTGATTCATCCAGAACCCACATTCTAGACAATGCCTCAGGCCCAGATTTCTGTAGAAGCCAAAGGAAAGAGAAAGGTTGCAGGAAAAAGGCTCTAATTCCCTTTCCCTTCCCAAATATCCTGACCTTCCACGGACATCAGCCAACATGGCCCCACATACACCCCTAAAATGGGAAAACCTTGGGGTCTGGGCATCATATCTAGCACGTGGTGGGCACTCAAATATTTGTGGGGTGGAAAAAAGTGAGTGTTTTTAATCACCATCTCTCAGGCAACATTTCCATAACCTAAAAGATTCAGTCCCAGAGCTAGGACTGGTCTAGATGCAAATGCTTTAGGTTTTTCCGCTTTGTAAGTAAAACTGTCTACATGTCCAAGTGCTAAATAAATTAGAAGTCAGCCACAAGGTGCCATTTCTTCCTCATGCTTTGGAATCTGGAAGCCATGGGTCAAAACACCACTCATCTTCCAGAAGTTTCTTCATACTCGACTAGTTCATCTATTGTACGCAGCAAATCTTCAAAGGAAGGCCTTCCCTCTGGTTTCTACAATTAAAAATCAAAGAGAAGCTGTGGGTTCCAGAATCCAACCCCAAAATAATTTCTCACATTCACATTCACATAACATAGCACACAAGTGCAAGGCACTCCTTGTTTTGGGACTTGAACACTCAGGTGTCTCCAAATGGGTCTACCTTCACCTACATGTACTGTTGGTGGGCACACCTTTCCATAACATTCCTTTTGTGTCTCCATTCAAGAATCTAACAGGACTCTTTATTGCCTGCAAAATCAAGTCTTGCTAATTTGCAGTGCCCTCTATAACCTGCCCTCTCCCATCCTCTTGCTACTCTATCTCATTTCCCACAAAACCCTCACGTGGGCTCTCTGCTCCATCAGACCAATCTCTACCCTCCTGTACGCACACCACACTCATTATCACCGCCTTGCCTTTCTCACGCTGTCCTCTCCCACCCCCAGCAACACTTCCTGCCCAGGCCTCTCCCACCCCAATCTGTGTTCCTTTGGAGACATTACAGCAAGAGACCAAGAGCACGGGCTCTGCTTCTCTGTAGCAACATGGCCTTGGGCAAGTGCCAACTTCAGGAGCCCTGGTCTCCTCATCCACAAAGTGGTTATAGTAAAAATCTCTGCACCTCTAAAGGTTGTTTTGAGAAGTATATCTAAAGCACTTAGTACAGTGCCTATCACACAATACACGTGAGCTAATATTATTATCTTTCAAAAATTATTATGGTGTCTCATCTTTTCTACAAGGTGACATTTCAATACACCGGGAAGGAAAACTTCCAAAGACTGTGAGTCAAGAGATCTGGGGGAAGTTGAGGTTTGGTGAAAGAAACCCCCTCTGGTGAAAGCGTAATAATTCAACACTACAAGTAGTCCAGTGAGAGAAGAGCTGCTTCTTAGGACACATTCCCCACATCCCGGACTCAGGCAACCGTGACAGGATTTCTGCTTGGGAGTGGGATGGCAGCCTGAATTTATGATCCTAATTATTATCATTTTCCACTTCTTCACCTTTTTCTTCCCATTATTTGGAACTGACTTGAGAGGGCTGGTGTTCTACCTAGTCTGAAATCGTGTAACACATGCACTAACTCCCTAGGCTGTAGAGACCACGCACGATTAATCCACCAAGCCCAGATCCCTAAGTGTTTTCAAGATTCAGAAGGAAAGCACAACATTTTTTTTTTACCTCCTGCCAACATCTCAGCATCACCTCGTACACATGTTTGGATGCCAGCTTCGGCCTATAGAGTCGGTGGCCCCGCGTAACCATGGTTACCACTTCGTAGTTGGTGTTTTTCTCGAAAGGCATTTTGCCTTCAGTGAATATTTCCCACATTAAAACACCTAGAAAAGGATAAAGGATCACCAAAGGATGCATCCACTTCCGGTTCAGATTAGAGCTGGGGGAAAATGGACCGTGTTCTTACCAAATGACCAGACATCCGATTTGCTACTAAAGCGACTGTAGTTAAACACCTCAGGTGGACACCACTTCACTGGAAATTTCGCACCGGAAGAACTTGTGTATTGATCGTCCAGAACATACCTAAAGGAAGACATGTCACAGGTTTACACCTCTGGGTTATGATCTACATGTTCTTTACCTTTTTTCCCCCCTCTTAGAATCAAAAACACAGTTGACTGAAGTCCAACGAGCATCCGGTTGAAGCTAAATGTTTGCCTCCGTGGCCACGCCTGGTGATTTCCATCTTCCTCTCAGCTTGAGAGGGATACATGGTAACATTCGTAGCTGCACTTCTGTTTTTCTGTGTGTTTTTCTTTTTTATGAGGCAATAGAGGCAGGACACAATAAAAGAGTTGGCAAAGGTTTTTTTTTTTTTTTTTTTTTTGGTAAGCAATTCTGTTCTTTAAACAAAATGTAACCCAAAGGCCCCACATGTAAAACATCTAAAGCAGAGCTGCTCTAAAGGAAGTGGTGCAGAGCATTTGGAGGCACACACGCTCGTGGCCCCCGCGAGTCCACGGGGTACAATTTAAACCCACAGCAAGTGAAAAAAGCAAATTACAAAATGACAGATGTAAATGGAGGAGTATGGATTTATATACCATGACATCCCTCCCTCACGCACACACACACACACACACACACACAC